AGTCATAAAATGACGATGGACCACTTATTGCCATGTCTAGTCTAACGTATGGTTATGGAACTCGCAACTTAGATAATGGAATTTTACTGATAAAGTAATAACGAACCTAGTGAACTAACCTTCTAGTAATAACTGACTTTAATTACTACCAGTTCACTACCTACTTATTAGTTTTGTGTACGTGTCAAAACTAATACGCTTACTACGGGATACCAGTCATTCAGTATGTTTCACTCAAACGATACAAGTATGGTAGGTACTTGTACACATCATTTCAGAACCGATAACCAACGAATGCTTTACATAAGAAAACATAGGGTTTTCTTGGGATAACGAAACTTTTCATAAACAAGGTTGTATGGTACATCTAACGAGAAATCAAATCATATTTTCATAAGGAAATTTGCAGGATTTTCTTGATTCAAACTGTGTAACAAAAGGGATAACCAAACTACTTTTATAAGAAAATACGGGATTTTCTTGGATATCAACTGTTCATGAAACAAAAAGAAACTGAATCTTTTTCCAGAAAACAAACCGCTTATGAACTCACCAGCTTTATGCTGATATTTTAAAACTGCTTGTATTCTCAGGGCATCCATAGACAGGTACTCCTGTTAACCTTTTGAAGAAGACGGCGCATATAGAAGACTCGTCTTTACTTTTGTTCTAACCAATGTATCTAAGAAAACTTGTAGTACTTTATTTTCGAACAAATGTAAAACTTTCTTATGTAATGTAATGGTTGTGTTTACTATGCTTGCTATGTACATTGGTTGTGATACTTTACATGACGTCACATCCGCCCCGGAACGTTTCCGCCATCGGTTTCGGGGTGTGACACTACCGTATGCAGTGTATATAAAGAACGGGATGGTTCGTTGTTGTTTGGTTACAGTTATTTGACCGGTTTTGCTACGATTGAGTTTTCGACAGAGTTATATATGGATAGTCATGAATGATGGTTGTCATGTGATGTAAGTAATATAATTATGTGCTCATTACATACTACGCTTCTAATAACAATACTTACTTTACTGCAAAAAAAAAATTAACTGGCAGCACATCATGATGTGGATCTCATTGTTGTTAGAGCGTAGAGCGGATGATGCTAGTTGGACGGTTGTGTCGTCAAATTTTAATGCTAATACATTTGACTGGAGTGACATGGCTGACAGATCCGTTTACTCGGCTTGGGCAGAGTATGATACGGTATAATTTTGTTTGGATTACATTACCTGAGTTTTTATATATTAATTAATTATTTCTAACTTTTTTTTGTAGCTTTACATCCCAATCAGCATACCACAAGCTCATTGGTTTTTTGGGTGCTTTGGATTTGAAGACATTCAAAATGACTAACGATAGTCATTAGAATGGCCACTACTGTTCAGAAAATGAGGATTGATTTATAGGTACGAAAGCCCGCATCCACAAACTGCTAGTGGTAGTCAACTACTGGGGTATCGAACTAACTGATTCAATCCCACTTGAGAGCTTCAAGATGACCCTAGAAAAGGCCATAGACGCACCACAATAGATTGACAGTAGAGGGGATTGTGAGGTGTTTTTGTGTTGGTTCCTAGAGGCGTTGATCACCGGGAAATTGATTTCTTTAGAGGCTAAAACCGGTCCATGGGCTATGGATTATCGAAAACAACTAGCGGAAATTTTTTTTGGGAACAAGGAGAAAGATAATTTGAACATCGTATTTGTAATATGACCTACATACACATCCTTTATATAGTTTATGTATTTATTAGTTTATTGATTTTAATTGCATTTTATATTTTATAAAACCAAAAGTTATACATTTTATAAAAGCAAACTGTATACATTATATAAAACCAAAACTTATACTAAAAGAAAAAACACATGTTACACGCAAAAAAAATGTATCCCGGAACCATGATCCGAAATCCTACTCCGAAATTACGGAGACTTCTTCGGAACAATGTGTTCCGGAGAATGTTGTTACTTTATATATATATATATATATATATATATATATATATATATATATATATATATATATATATATATATATATATATATCAATGTTGTAGAAATCGCTCGACGGTAGCTCGGCGGTGGACTGGGGTCAAGCGATTAATCGGCTAGGCGGGGATTAATCGGGGACCATTAATTATTAAAAATATTATTAAAATTTAATAAATATAACTTTAATACTAAGAATAAAAGTAAACAAGTTAACAAATAATAAATATGTAATACATAATTTATTTTTTCTTTTCAATTTGGATATTTCTTCTCTTAAGCATTTTGTCAAACACTTGGCATGCTAGCTTGATTCTCACCAATGTCACAAACACCATAAGGACTATATAATCCATATCGATCAGTCGATCAGTCGATCACATTTATCCATTTGTGCACTCAAATAAAGATCCAATACTTGCATTCTTTCGATCCAAATGAGCCGTTGAATGTCACAAACATAATTTGGATTCAAAATCATTCAGGAATCTGTGGGTACCCTTTGGAATCAAACCCGTTCGTGTATTCACCTACTGAAGGATCGGTATCGGTTTTCCATGCTACGTGGTTCTTAGTTATTCCTCTTACAAAATCAATTCCGAATTTCATACTTGGAAGAAACGTATTTCTCAGTGACTATTGATATCGATGGTTGATGGTGGTTCAAGGGGTATAAGGAGATGGTTTGGAGCTGGAAATAACACGAAAGCATCAGAGGTGGTTGCTATGGAGGTGTTCTCGGTGGTTTGTTGCAGGTATGAGAATTGAAGACGAAGACAACAACAAATGAGAGTTGAAGACGAAGACATGGGTTGTCGATATGGTTTGTTGCAGAGGTGGTTGCTATGGAGGTGTCCTCGATCGCCTGTTACTTACATACACACATAGTGGGGAAAAAGAGATGCAAAGAAGCTGTGAAAATTTGGGAGTTATCGGGATTAACTGAAGCTGTGAAAATTTATTGAAACACAGAATCAATGAAAATTTAATTGAAAAGACAACAAGCAATTGAAGACAGCAGGTTATAGATCGAGAGAAAAAGCTAGGGAAGAAAGAGATGCGAAAAAGAGATATTAAATAATTAAAAGTTCATCCCACATCGCTGGTGGGAGCATTCTTTAAAGGAAAACTTGCTCCATAAAAGGAGCTTGTATCTCTTGTAAAACCAAGCCCAACAATGTTTTTGGCAAGCCGGCTCCTTTGAGCTGGCGGGACCCTTGGAATTAGCTAGACCGATTTGGTCCAATTTGATGTCCAAGTTGGTCCGATTTAGTCCGATTTGGACCGAATTGGACCGATTTTGACCGATATTGACCATGAGCGACTAGCCAACCCTTTAACCCCTATTTGTAGGCGGTTGGTGTCCGCCTAGCGCCTAGACGCCGATTAATCGGCCGCCTAGACCGATTTTTGCAACACTGATATATATATATATATATATATATATAGATATATATATATATATATATATATATATATATATATATATATATATATATATATATATCTAATATATATATATATATATATATATATATATATATATATATATATATATTCTTAAAGAGGTCATTTATATGAGTTAGATTACTCAATTTCCCTTTATCTTATTTTCCACCATTATGATTAACCAATACTAACAATTAACCATAACCATTAACCATTAACCGACAAAAACGTTAACCAAAACCAATATTAATCAATACCCAATGGCTACCAAAATGCATAAACCACTTATAATGGTTATGGTTCGGTTTTGGCTAAAAATCAAACTAAACCGCCTCATACACAACCCTACAACGCACTTTGATAAAAAAAAACTATGTGTAAATGCATGTATTACACGGGTTGATTAAAGAAAATAAAATATTAAAATGTAAATAATAAGTATTTATTAAAATACAATTTTGAAATAAGGAATGAAGAACATATTAATTGCAATTTAGTATAATATTTATTACATTTGATACTTTATATATATAAGTATAAATATTATTTGGCTTTTTAATTTTAAAAATTGAAAAAAACCATAAATTGACATGTGGATATTATTTATTTAAAAAATATCACAAAATGACAAATATCAAAACTCATTAGAAATTGATATATGACAAAATTATCTTCATTTATTATAGTAGATATGTTTCTTTCACGTTCTAATACCAATTTGTTCATTTATTATAGGAGATATGTTTCTTTCACGTTTTAATACCAATTTGTTATGGAATAATTAGTACATATATCTGATCCCTATATAAACGGGGATAGGTGTCACAGACATAAGTTTGACGTTACTCCTTGCCCGTGCGGCGTACCGAGGTACGCCATAAAACCTCGATACCAGCCCTCCCATGTTACACACGCCAACTGGTTTTGCCTCGCCATGGGCTCATCAGGGAAGCGGCACTAGCCCCCGATCAGTTGTATCTCTAGAACGCTACGACCCCCTTCATTGTCACACACTTCAGCGACTCGGCCAGACAGCAACGACTAGCATAACAACGTCCCTTGGGCTAGGACGCCCCTTTTTTGAACCCAATGGCAAGCTATTCCAGTGGCATGGTCTTTGTTTTTCTTGGTCAACACGGTCACGGGATATCAGCCCGTGACACTCTCCCACCGTAAAATTATCGCACGTCCTCGTGCGATGGAAGATGAACTTTTGTCTTTTCGAAATGGTCTTTCTTCTTATGCCAAGTATAATCGCGTACCACTACACTGGATCCCAACCTTTATACTTCGAAGTCGGAATTCTCGGCATGTGGCCACCCCCATTACTTCCTTCAAGGAGGTAGAGCATTCATCGGTGTATTGTTCTTGACTTCGCAGCAACCCACCAGCAAGTCCATACTTCTACGGACCCCACGAATATGTACGATGATAGTGGCATGTCCCTTTGTCGTTTGGCTCTGATACCACTTATCACGGACACAAGTTCGGCATTACTCCTTACCCGTGCGGCGTACCGAGCTACCCCATAAAACCCCGATACCAGCCCTCCCATGTTACACACGCCAACTGGTTTCGCCCTGCCATGGGCTCATCATGGAAGCAGCACTAGCCCCCGACCAGTTGTATCTCTAGAATGCTACGACCCCCTTCATTGTCACACACTTCAGCGAGTCGGCCAGACAACAACGACTAGCATAACAACGTCTCTTGGGCTAGGACTTCCCCTTTTGAACCCAATGGCAAGCTATTCCAGTGGCATGGTCTTTGTCTTTTTGGTCAACACGGTCACGGGATATCGGCCTGTGACTAGAGCTCACATCTATTTCTTTTTGCAACTTCCCTTAGCACGTGCGTCACGTGATACTGATAATTTATACCCAATTTTTTTTAGGCTTGTAGATTAACCTGAATGATCTAAAGAAATCTCGGAGAGATTAACAAAGTGACGGGTAAACCCTACTTCGTAAGCACCAATCACTGCGGCATTCCGATTCTACGCCTCCTCCTAAATTCTGCTATATATATCGACAACAGGTAGATACTGATACTGAATTTTAGATCCTTGTAGCTTTAATGTCTGTTAAATTGAATTACTTCAAAATTGACATGGATTTTTAGGATTTTTTAGGTCTTATGTAACTTCGATCGGATTTAATTAAATAGTAGCTGGAAGATAAGTTTCGATTGGTTCTGGAAGATGAATTCTTGCACAATTGACTCTTCCCTTTACCTGTCTGTGTGAAATCTGAATCTGGATAATCAGATAACCATTTTATCGAAATTAAGGATAGTTTAGCTAATTTTACAAACCTTCCTGCAGCAACGCATTGTGTGCTTCACCAAATCTGATTATTTTGAGCCTCAAAAATCAAAAAAGAATCTGAATTTACTGAATACATCTTTTTATTTTCATGAAAATTACAAAAGGTGGAGACTATGGATTCAAGCGTATCTGGAAAGAAATCTAGTGAGAAGGAAATACCAACTTTCAATATTGAGAATATGCAAAGCAACATGAAGGTGATATACTACAGGTCAGTTTTCTTTGCATACTTTGATCTAAAGTAGATTGTTGTAACCCTAATCAATTGATAGATCTAAACAATAATAATATACTATAAATTATAAAATGTAATGGTTGTTGTTTGAATGTTGATGCAGTCGAACATTCATGTCCATCATTGGTGGAGTGATTGCTGGAATTTTGGGAGTAAATGGGCTCATGGGATTTGTTATTTATTGTCTTGTCATGGCTATTACATCTGTTTGTTTAACAGCCAAGGCAGGTTTTTCAATCCATTCATATTTCGATACCTGGAATAGGGTTCTGCTTGATGGCTTCCTAGGGGGCCTTTTGGTAATTTCTCAAATCTGTTAATCATGCAATTTTCATTCAATACAATCCATATTTCATATCTTAATCAGCCATCAATTTCTCTTTTTGCAGTCATTCGTGCTGTTCTGGACGTATCCTTATATCATTTGCTCATTCTTCTTCAATTTTTTACATATTTGTTGGGTAAATTGCAGGAAATAGCAACATAGTTGTTGATCTTTTTGTTTGGTTATTCTAATTCACACCATTTATGATTTACCTTGACGTGAAAAAAGATTTGCTTATGATATCGTGCATATCTTTTAAACAATCCCACTTGAAATACAAGAAGCAAGCTTGTTTTCTGGAGTTTACATAAAGAAGAGGTGTTGGAGCTCAGATTGAAGGGTTTTTATTTTATAGCTTGTAATTGTTAAAACTTTTATTTCATAGTTTTTCAAACTTTATATATGGTTCTAGGACCTAAGATTTAATTTGGAAGAGTTCATGTGACTTGGGCGGTTATTCTGTTACTTTGTGCAACCTTGTGTTATATCATCTCTTTGATCCAAAATTTAATTAATTTCTTGTTATTATCACTGAAAGTACATTGATGTCTTAATGGAATTGATTTGGATTACATAGGTGGAATAATTTGGGAGTAGTTTAATATATATTTGTATTTGCCGTTCAAAAAAAAATTTTGATTTGGATATATAATATTTATATGTGACTTGTACAGTTATCCTCGACATAGGATCTTACGAATAAATTTAAACTTTTGAATAATCGAATTTGTAAAATGTTTTTTTTATGAAGACTCATAGATTGGTTCGGAATTTGGCATGCGAAAACTAAACCAAAAGAAAATTAAGAGACAAATCTAGTTACCAGATTGTAATGTTTTATAATAAAACAGTAAAATATTTAAATGTTTATGTTTGTAACTTCAAATAAATAGAGTGATTATTTGTTATCACAATTATTTTGAGCTTCTAGAACATCAACAAACTTTAACCATATTTCCAAGTTTTTTATTTTTAAAAAAATGATACACTCATTAATTTATCAAACAAAATCTTACTGTTGACCATTTGTTTTAATTATTTTAATAATATATTAGTCATGACAGATTGATGATTTATGTTGATATATTTTTCTTTGATAAAGCTAATAAAAGATGATTTGGCTAATAAAAAACTTAGAATTGGAGTTACTGGTTGGGCATGTTCTAACTCAAATCATTTCCTATCATTAATTATTTTTAAAACCAATATAAAATCGTTTATAACTCATATAATTTATTATTTAAACATCATTTCTAATAAATGAAGGTTTTTTTGCTACTTGTCACGTTCTCATTCAATTGTCAAATGTTATTTTGTGGTTATTTTGAATTAAATTTTTTTCCACATGTTATTTTATGAGTTTTTTTATTTTATTAATTTTCACATAATATTTTAATATAATAATTGCAATAAATATAGTAATAAATAAATATCAATTTTATTATTTAACTTACCTTTTAATTTTAAAATTCTAAAAATTAAAGTTTATCAGGTTCTTTTATTTATTTAAATTGTTTGTTTAAATTTAAAAGATAAAAAACATTTCGATTATAATAATTCATTATTTTTCTTATTTTCTTATAGATTCAAAGTTCTAAAATAATTGACATTTATATTAATTTTTTTTAAATTAACCCATGTAATACATGAGGCTCAAAACTAGTATATAATGTATATGAAAAGAAAAAAAAATAATATAAAATAAAATCAATATATTACAATACAAAATAGTTAAATAACTTATACTAAATGTAAAGTCTATATGATAAAATCATTTATAACATGATTGTCAAAATCGTGATCCTGTACGATCCTAGGTATGAAAAACGATCCGGTATTTGAGGTAGGATCGTAGGATCGAGATCCGATCCGATCCTACTTTCCCTTGATTTTTTTTTGTTGCAAATGATTTTTTTACCACTTTATGTATTTTACTATTTACCAATTTACCATTTATCATTTTGTGTTGTGACTTATGACTAATATTTTGAAGTTTTTATAACTTTTGAACAAAAAAATTGAATGTTTGAAATATTTTTAATTATTAAAAATTATAAATTAAAATTAAAATTTATTTTGTGGGATCTTAGGATCCCGATCCCGATTTTGCAAACCCAAAAACGATTCTATCCCGATCTTGACAACCTTAATTTATACGATAAAAATCATAGGTATATAATAGTTAGTTTATCTCAAATCATATGGTAAAAATCTAAAAATCATGACATTTATTATTAATAATATTTTCTTAAAAAAGCTTCCTTTGGAAGGTTATGACAATAAGATCAAATTTTTTTATGTATAACAATCTATTAATAAAATTCATACACTTCATTTGATCTTTTAATGATACAATTATTATTATTATTTCTAAAATATATAACTAAGAAGAAAATAAAATAATACTGCTTTTGTCAACGATAATCAAATACAACTGACATTTAGTATTATTGTTTACTTTGATTTGGCTACACGTAGTATATCAAACGCAGAGTCATCAGTATATGCCTTCTCAAAATCACACATGGCTTCCAATGAGTGCTCTCCGATGTCCTCGCCGGAAAACACCTCCAACGACAGGGAGAATATTCTCGACGACGCCATGACAGACGACACAAGCGAATTCTTTTTTGATGTCCAACCTCGTATAAGCTTCACCGAGAACAACTCCGCCACCTACTTGTCATCTGAAAACCCCTGCCTCGACTTCTTCTTCCACGTCGTACCGGACACTCCGCCGGAAGATCTGATCCGTCGGCTACAAGTGGCATGGAATCACAATCCACTGACTACGCTAAAACTCGTATGTAATCTCAGAGCCGTACGCGGTAGTGGAAAATCGGACAAAGAGAGCTTTTACACGGCGGCGCTCTGGCTCCATAGCCACCACCCGAAGACCTTAGCTTCGAATATTCCGCTTCTGGTTCAGTTCGGTTACTTCAAGGACTTGTTAGAGATCCTCTACAGGCTGATCCAAGGTCCTGAAGTGCGTCGAATTGCGAAATCCGAGTGGATTTCGAAGAAATCGGTGAAAGGAAAAGGTGAATCACGGAAGCGATACTTCCTCTCGAAGAAAAAGAAGAAGAACAAGAACAATGGCGACGATGAGATGAAAGCGAAAAGGGAAAAGGTCCCTCGAGAGCAACGGATCGAAGCAAATAGAGTACAGATGAAGGCAGAGCAAGAGAGAGCAAAAGCATCTAGGAAAGAAAAGCTATCCGCCATGGCTGAAAAAGCACATAATAGATACAATTCAGATCCAGATTACAAGCTCTTACACGATCAGGTATCGAGTTTCTTCGCTGATCGTTTACAATCTGATATTCAATCGTTGAATTCCGATGATTGTACCAAAATCAGTTTAGCTGCAAAATGGTGCCCTACGGTTGATTCTTCATATGATAACGCCACACTGATTTGTGAATCAATTGCTAGAATAATTTACCCTAGAAATTCTGATCCTGAATTCGATGGTCTCGATGACGCTAATTACGTCTTCAAAATCAAAAATCGATTCAGGAAACAAGTTCTCGTTCCTCTTCGCAACGCCTTAAAATTACCTGAAGTTTACATGAGCGCAAAGCAATGGAGCTCCATTACCTACGACAGAGTAGCTTCCATAGCCATGAAAAACTACACCGACATATTCTTACACCGAGACAATGCACGCTTCCGTGAGTATCTACAAAACGTGACCACCGGCGATGCAAAGATCGCCGCCGGAGCATTACTCCCCCACGAAATCATCGGATCTTTAAATCGAGGTAGTGGAGCAGCCATAGTAGCCGAGCTTCAATGGAAGCGAATGGTTGATGATTTATCAAAGAAGGGTAAACTCACAAACTGCATAGCAGTCTGTGACGTCTCCGGCAGCATGTCAGGTACACCAATGGAGGTCTCAGTGGCTCTCGGCTTATTAGTGTCAGAAGTTTCCGCAGAACCATGGAAGGGTCACGTCATCACCTTCAGCGAGTTGCCGGAGCTCCACCGAATCGAAGGTGGTAACCTCCGGTCAAAAACAGAGTTCATTAGAAACATGGCTGCCGGATTCAACACCAATTTTCAGAAAGTTTTTGACAGAATGTTGGAAGTGGGTGTGAAAGGAAAGTTGGGGGAAGATAAAATGGTGGAAAGGGTGTTTGTTTTTAGCGATATGGAGTTCGATCAGGCGTCCGATGATCCATGGGAGACTGATTATGAAGCGATAGAGAGGAAGTTTAAGAGTTGTGGGTATGAGAAGGTGCCGGAGATTGTGTTTTGGAATCTTAGAGATTCATCGAGTACTCCGGTGACTGGTGGCCGGAAAGGGGTGGCGCTACTTAGTGGGTTTTCGAAGAATTTGTTGACTTTGTTTCTCGAAGAAGGAGGGGTGATTAAACCGGAGGATGTAGCTGATAAGAGTGATGCGAAAGGAGGTGATGGGGGTTTGAATCCTGAGGATAGGATGGAAGCTGCTATATCTGGAGAATTGTATCAGAAACTGGTTGTGTGTGATTGATGTGGATTTCTGTATTTTTGAGGTGTAGAAATTAGGCTATGTTTTTTAATTTTCATCAATAAATTGGTTCTAAATATATATTAAAAAAATAAAAAAACAGAATCAATGCCAAAATTGCAACATATTTAGATGTACTCTAGAAAAATAATAAGAAAAAAATAATAGTACACACGTATGCATGAAAGCTCCTATCATACATGAAATGAACAACAATATAGTTGACATAAATTAGGGTTTAATAACTTCAATCTAACTCCCATTTCATTTTTCATCCCAGGGTTTCCAAGATCTTCAAAGCAACTTGTGCTAATTGAATCCAAACAAACCCCAAATACAAGTATCAATAATCTAATCCATCATTGAAAAGTACATACACACAAACCTCGATGCAAACATATAATGATGTCACCACCATTAATGACTTATCGCTCATAACTAGGCTCCAGGAATTCCCAGACGAATACTTGTTCCATAAAAGATTGATGTTTGATGAATTTTAACACGAAAGTGTGGCAAAAAACTATGGCCTTGAAGGAGTAGGAGATGTCGGAGGCTTGAAATTGGGATACTGCAATATGACAACATAAAGCGAAACAAAAACAAAAAACAGTCAGCAGCATTTAAAGAAAAAAATGGAGTGCTTAAATCGTTTCTTTAATCAAAATCTTTGAAGGGTATTTTGATTTTCAGCAGTTTGGATAAAAAAGATTGAAGCTTTATCGACAATAGTCAAACATTATAGGCTAAAATTTGGTTCTTAAAACATTTCTTTAATCAGAAACATTCAGAAGTAATTAGATTCTTGTCGTTTTGAGTTGAGCAATATTGAAATCTATCAACAATATATATGAGTGTAGTCAGGTCAAATTTGCTCTTTTGACCTATGCAAAATCCTTTAATTTAAATCATGATCTTGAAAAACCCTTCAAGGATATTATGTGTTTCATCATTTGGGATCCAAACATTGAAACTTTATTTTCAATGGACAAGGAGGACATTTACGTCTTTTGCACAGTTGGAAAGATCAAGAGGGAAGTCTATGTCCTACCTTATTGGGTAGGACAAAAAGTTGTCATTTTGTCCCACTTTTTTAGAGACAAAAAATTGCAATTTTTGTCTCGATCCATTTTATGAGTGGGACAAAAAAATTGCAGTTTCATCCATGTCCCACCTTTTTAGATGAGACACGAAACTGTAATTTTTGTCCCACTAACATGAGTCGTTGTCTTAAGCCTAGTCCAATGCATGTAAAACACAGTTCAACATGTCATCAAATGTTATGTGTTTGGTGGATCCAACAGCTAAAGGTGAATTTAGGAAACTTACATATGGATATGGTGAAAGTGCACGTGGTGGTTTAGAAACCACTTCTTCTTTGACTTCTGTTTTAGAGACAGCGTTGACCGTTGGAGTTGACTCTACTGGTGCTGGTGCTGCTGCTACTGCTTGTACCACTGGTGGAGTTGGCTCTGCTGGTGGTGCTGCTTCTGGTTGTACTTCCGGTGGCGCAGAGTTAGTGGACTCCACAACAGCTTCTTCCGTAGTTGTTGTGGCTGCAGGAAGTGATTTGCTAGACAAGGGTGGTAGAAGAGCTTTCCCAATGTCCTGAATTTTGTTAAATCATTTGGTTATAATTAAAAAAAGAAAAATGTGTTTATATATATATATATATATATATATATATATATATATATATATATATATATATATATATATATATATATATATATAGTTGAAGTACCTTGATATCATTTAGAATATCTTGGGGCCCGATTTTCACAGTCAAGAATTCCTCAACTTCTTTTAGAGTTTTTTTCCGATCCTATCATGGAAAATTTCGTAAACAAATCTTTAAACAACATAACCTACAAGGGCAAAAATGTAATTTCCAAAAGATTTTGCTTTAAATTAGATGAAAAAAATGACCTCGGCATAGAGTAGCTTCTTGGTGACAAGTTGCACCAAAGCAGCAGAACCCAAGACCTCGAGTATCGTCTCAACCTGAATTTAGTTAAAATTACACAAACAGAATTCAAAAATCGAAAGGGCTAAATGCAATAAATAGCAATGTACTTTTATTTCGTTTTTTTCTAATCAAACCATAAAAGTTTCAGACGTTTTTCCAGATTAACCATTTTGAGTAAATTTTTATATCTGGTTTCATCGGTAATTTTCCAAATTAACCATTTTTGACTTGTTATATCACTTCAAAATGGGTAATTATGGTTTGATTGGAAAAAATAGAGCATAAGTGGTTAAACTGAAAAAGTGTCCAAAATGTAGTGGATTTTCTGTAATTTGGCCTTTATTTGTTTGACAATTTTGTAGTTTCAATCTTTTCTTACTAGGGCATGAACTCTACCAGATTATTATAGTATTATACTTCCAAATTTTTTTTATTATAAGGACATTATACTTGGAAAAATCAAACCCAATTATAATAGTGAGATGGTTTTCTCTTTCGATGAGACTGCTATATTTGGAAAGTAAATTTTGTAATAGGAAAAAAAAAAAGTAAGATCTATATCAAACAAATCAAGGAGAGTAGAGACATTGTTATGAAGCTACTTACCTCGGTAAATGCTAACAAACCTAGTCCAGTAGCCACCGCGAGGCCAAAAATTACGGATACAGCCTCAGAACCATCCTGGAAAGTGGAAACCATTGCAATTCAAGATCTTTGCTTACAAAACAACAGGAATTGCAAAATAGAGAATTTTAAAGAAGAAAATGAAAAACAATAAAATTCGTTTATATGTGAGAATTGAAATACGTACACCAAGCAAGCCATCGAATGCATCTGTCACACTGCCAAAGTCAAAAGCGAAAGATTTTTGTGGTAATATCCATGGAAGACTGCTGTTCTGTATACAAATTTATCAAATAAAACCATAAAAAAATCAAATACTAGATTTCAAGAAATAAAAGAATGTGATTAACAAACCGCCCATCCACGTGGCCCTTCTGCTCCATCTTTTATAGCGTAAGCAGCTTTGAAGCCATTAACAGTCACCAATTCTGCAACAAGTTCAGAGCTCCCATCGAATCTGGCTTTCAACATACATTTAGCATAAATTTTAGATCTTGAAAACCTAAATCATTTAAAGAAAGATGGGGGAATTCTCAATTCTGCCTTACTTGTCCAAAATAAACAATGTGGTGTTCTCTGGTTCTTTGAACTTCAAGGAAAGCTTCTTCAAGAACCCTGGTTTGTCATCACCATTATAAGCAATCCTAATTGGCTTCTTCTTCAAACCCTTAATGTCTGGACTACCCCCTGCCCTAATGTCAGAAGCAGTCCTAATATCAAGCAATTGAGCATTTTCATCATCGCCCAATTTCCCATACGCAATTCTCGCAGTTTCAACCCCCCATGGCTTACTCTTCGCAAATACTTGAGAGAGGATTAACGGCAAAACTAAAGCGGCGGCGCCACCAGCTAACACCAGAGGATTCTCAGTAGCGAAATTGATTATACCATCGAAAACACCGCTGATATCCAAATCAGGTGCTGAGAATGACGAATCAGAAGTTGTTGATTGATTCAGTGCTTCTTCATACGTAAGTGCTTTTGCGATAGCAGAATTGAAAACAGAGGATATAAGCACTAGACTACTGCCATGGAATTGGGGTTTTGAGATTTTAAGATGGTGAATTGTGGGGAACGATGATTGTTTTTTGGGTTCTGGTTTAAGTACGGAAATGGGTTTTAACACAACAGCATTGAGGGCTTCCATAGCATAATCCTTGATGTGAAGAACTCAAGAACAAATTGATGAAAGTTGGCTAATCACCATGAGAATGCTGTTTTAATTTCTGGGTTGTTCTGGAATCTGGAGGGTGTAATATGGGTGGACGTGCTGAGGTGGAAGGAAATTTGAGAAAGGTTCCAATGAATGAGTGACATGTGGCAAGTCAGGATCAGAAGCTTTGATGATCATGTTTTGAGTTATATGGATGGAAGTGTTTTGTATGGTGGAGAAATCGTATCATGCCATGAAGGTGAAAAAATTAGCTTAAAGGGTGTTGACTTTCAACACACAAACTTTATAATCAAAGTTTATAAACGTTTCAAGTCTATAAAGTTCAATAAATTGATATATTAATATCGTTTTTAATAACTACTTTGTTTGATGCATACATTTCATTACTCTATCAAAGTTAATCATATCTTAATATGAACTATTGTTTTTTTTTTTTTTTTTTTTTCTAATTTATAAACAACTTTTTCTTTCGGTAAAAGTTTGCATCGATATGGCGGGTAAAAAACAACAAGATGTGACGTTAACCCTTTTTAAAAGGTAAAATTAATTCTTTTAAAGATTATATCTATATATTTTTAGATCATAACATTATTATGCATAACCCATTGGATTTCAATTGAAGAGTTTCATGCAAGAAAACGAAAAATATCAAACGCACGTAGCGTATGGTGAATACATCAAGGTGTTTTGACGTCTAAATATTACACTTTTAGTTTTTTTCACAAACTAATCCATATCTAACTAACATAATCCCTAAATATAAAAACACAATCGAAGTCAAAACTACAACTTATAGATAATTACATCCAAAAACAAAACCCCAACTCCTAACTAAGCAAATCTCCAACTTCCTATTTGACCTTTCAAGATCGGCCTAACCAATGGAAAATTGTTATGACCTTTTTCATCACTAACACAACAAATAAACAACACTTTGGTCCATGTGAAATTTTTGAAACAATTGTTTCAGATCAACGAGAATAAGAGAGAAAAAAAAAATGAAAAACATCATACCATTTTTGGACAAGCATAAATTTTTCTTCCCGGGTTATTACGGGTCATTGAGGTCCTTATAATCGCTAAACTTTCACAATCACACTTTGTCATGTGTTGGATTTAATCGAAGAACTTCCACAACAATCGATTGTCATTTGTTTGATTTTACATAATTTATATAGATAGTTTGAGCATACTATTAGGTTCAGAGTACGAATGTCTATGTTCACAGTATAGTAC